GATAAATCCTTTAGTTGGACTAAAGCAATTCACTCCTCGGGAGACACAGCTTCGTGCTACAGGCATAAAGCAAGAGGAAATGAAACATTACAAATGGCAAAGAACTGGGACCCGTTCCCCTCGTGCTGCTGATAAGGAAAAAAAAAAAAACCACAACAAAGGCAACAATTTGAAATTTTTTTCCCCACATAATTCAAAAATTATTTGAAAATAACTTTTCTCTGAGCTGCAATATGACTTTCGACAAGATAATTTCTGATTCTGCAAGAAGACAATCCCTGACCGCTTCACTTCGACTTGTTTGCACTATGTCTATTAAATCAAAGCCTCCTAAAACTCTTTGAGCTACTGTTTTCCAAGGCAATGGTCCGTTCCCAATTATATTACACTGTACTTGGCTGTATTAAAATCAATTCTGTCTGAATGGGATAGGTGCTGTGGCTATGTGCTCTTCCTTATTTGATTATATTGTATTTTTTTCCATTCTGTAAAATTCACCAGTAAAAATTACTGGTCTGAGTCTATGGATATAGCCATTGCTTGGCAAATCTGCCCTTTACTTGTCACTACTAAACTCCTTGACCTAGAGTTTCTCGTATTTCTGATGTTCTGATATTTGAGACAACTCATCAACTTTAGTTCAATTCACTACGGTTGTTATATTTGTTCCCTTGATTCCCCTTATCAGCTGTAGAGAGCTTTTACTCCCTAATATCACAGAATCACAGAATGACATGGGGTTAGAAGGGACCTCTGGAGATCATCTAGTCCAACCCCCTGACAGAGCAGGTCCACCCAGAGCAGGTCCCACAGGAACATGTCCAGGGAGGTTTGGAATGTCTACAGAGAAGGAGACTCCACCACCTCTCTGGGCAGCCTCTGCCAGGGCTCTGCCACCCTCACAGCAAAGAAGTTCCTCCTCAAGTTTAGATGGAACTTCCTACATTCAAGTTTGTGCCCGTTGCCTCTTGTCCTGTCCCTGGGCACCACTGAAAAAAGCCTGGCCCCATCCTCCTGACACCCACCCTTGAAGTATTTATAGGTGTTGATCAGATCCCCCCTCAGCCTTCTCTTCTCCAGACTAAAGAGACCCAAGTCCCTCAGCCTCTCCTCATCAGAGAGATGCTCCAGACCCCTCATCATCTCTGTAGCCTCTGCTGTCCCCTCTCCAGCAGTTCCCTGTCCTTCTGGAACTGGGGAGCCCAGAACTGGACCCAGTGCTCCAGATGAGGCCTCCCCAGGGCAGAGCACACACTGGCCACACTCTTCTGATGCCCCCCAAGGATGCCATTGGCCTTCTTGGCCACAAAGGCACATTGCTGGCTCATGGGCATCCTCTTGTCCACCAGGACTCCTAGGTCTTTCTCCTCAGAGGTGCAATATGTTTCACTTGTTTTCATCTGTCCCATCACTTGAGCCTAGAATCCAGTCTCCTGGCTGAAAAGGGACTCTTTTCAAAGGAATAGCCCTAAATACTCTATACAGACCCACTGCTACCTTCTCCTTATTAAATGGTGTTTGCAACCCAAATACCACAGAACTGAGAGACTGCAATCGTTAATAAAAATTAATTGAGCATAACTGGTTTTCAGGGGTTTAAACTTGGAAAACTACAAAAGGTTTCTAGTGCAACAACACAAACTTTTATTTTTGTATTTATTCATCTTTAATTCCACCACTCTCATACTGAAAATTACCTGGACACTAAAGATGTTATCTGCGGAAGAAGAAGAAAACAAAAGCTAGAATAAGAAAACTTGGTCCATGTGGTTAAAATATAATTAAAAGCTTAGGCAATAACCAGCTATCTAATTGTGGGGATTCTCAGTATTTTTTCTCTCAGGAACTATTTTCTGATTAGTAGCTATTCTGAATGCTGGCACAGAAAACAGATTTAGCAATTAAAATACTTAAAAACAAAGCAAAAAAAGAAAAAAGCCACAAACTCAGAGGAGTTTCCCGAAGAAATCTTACTCAGCTAAACTGCTCACGTGGCATTTATGACTCTGCTTAGCTCCATCCATCAAAACTATCAACCTGCTGTGCAGAATAACACAGAATAATTCACAATATATCTCTTATCTTTTTTTTGTCTACATAACTGAATGCACACTGGTAACTATTATTTTTAAGGTTATTATTAACGCAACATACTCCACATTTCACACTTGTTTCACAGGAATAATGCTTCTGTTCTCCTGCAAATACAAAAAATGTCCCTATCTGGATTTTTCCAGCCATGGATTAGATTTAAATCTTGCGCCCGAGCCCCACGCTGCCGCGATGACTCCACACAATGATGGATGAAGGTTTACATGCTATTTTTTGGGCCTTGCCCCTGGGAATAACACAAAGATAACAGAACCTGAAATTTCATCTTAAAGAAGAAAACAGGTTTCTAGGCCTGTTAATAACATTTAACTACTTAATAAAGTAATTAAATGCAGGTTGTGCATATTTTGCAAGCGTCAAAACTAAAGAAACAATCGCCTTCAGCAGCGAGGAACAGAACATATTCAAACCTTTCTAGTTATTGCCTACACAGAACTGCTATTTATCTTTTAGATAAGGAAAAAAGTATCGGTTTAAAGCCCTATAATTATATTGCTATAATTCTACCTGTTATCTCCAGGGCATTAGAAATACCACAGCAGAAGAGAAGTTTCCAGGCGGGTTATAGACATCTTTCTATTCCTATATTGATGAGAACTGAATTGGCCATTTCTGTTGAAACCTTTCTTCTTGGGGCTTTGACACATCACAGATTTGTTCTGTTGCATTTGCCTTCCTGGGAAGAAATTCAGCTTGCCTGGAGACCAGGACTGGCCATACAAGGAAAGGCTCTGATTAATTAATATAGGAACGAGGACAAGCCACGCCACCCACCCGTAGGCCACCTTCTCAAGTGGACCCAGGTGCCACCACACCAAAGCATGGCTGGGTCAAGGCGATGGCACAGGAACAAGAAGATCCCTCATGGGGATGAACTTCTATTCTCATTCTTAGAAGCCCACTTTGATGGCTAAGCAATCTTTTATTGATAACTTTTATGCTATGTAAAGCTTCTGTTAATTGGTTCCAGTCTGAATTTCATGCAGGAATCTTCAGCCTTTTCCACCCTGATCACCACTCAGGTGGACCTCAGGATCACCCCTTACATGGGGTGATTCCTACAGCTCAGCTTCTCGACAGTAACTGCTGGTGCACAGGCTCTTATCTCATATCACCCCTTACATGGGGTGAATTTCTACAGCTTAGCTTCTCAGCAGTAACTGCTGGTGCACAGGCTCTTATCTCAGGTAACATTCAGTCTATTCTGCTCCCTGGAGAGCAAGTTAACGTCATCCAATGCTGCGATAACTTCACAGTTTTCATGTGGACAGGGAAAATTCAGAAGATAGGCTGCCCAGAGAGATGGTGGAGTCTCCCATAACATTCAGTCTTTTCTGCTCCCTGGAGAGCAAGTTAACATCACCCAATGCTGCGATAACTTCACAGCTTTCATGTGGACAGGGACAATTCAGAAGACAGGCTGCCCAGAGAGATGGTGGAGTCTCCTTCTCTGGAGACATTCAAACCCACCTGGACACGTTCCTGTGGGACCTGCTCAGGGTGGACCTGCTCTGGCAGGGGGTTGGACCAGATGATCTCCAGAGGTCCCTTCCAACCCCATGTCATTCTGTGATTCTGTGAAGAACCCACACATCCCACTGAGCCCCATGGAATTCAACACAGGTGGAAACCCAAAAGGTTTCCTGCAAAAGGGATTTTGGATAATGCTTAGAGGGAGAGGAAAGCAAGCTCCTAAGGCAAAGCCAGACCTTTGTTCTGTTCAGAAGAGAGTACAAAGTCTCAGAAGAGAAGGACTCTATCAGGAAATACTCCTCTCTGTCAGCATGACAAGGCAAAACAGCCAGGCAAGGATTGATAGCTCCTTGCTTGTGACACAAACCGCCAATACAGCTAAGGAAAAAAAAAAAAAAGGGCCTTTTTTCCCCAGGAATGGAGAGAAACCCTTAAAAGTCATCAGAAACCGTGAGCAGCATAATAATAGAAAATTATTTTTACATAATTCAGTTTGTAGAGAATTCCATTCTGTATTTTAAAGAAGGAACAGCTCTCTTGGAGGAAGTCAGACTTCTCTAGAAGTCAACCAAGCTGAAAGTATCAAATGGAAGGCTTTCTTGCTGCTTAAGAAACCAACCTGGTACCATCTTTCAAACCCGCGTATGTTGCTCAACCAGTAGTAGTTAAATGAAACACACATTTTTGAGCTGCCTCCTTTTTATCTTTAAACAGCACGGAGATGGGAACAGCAGCGTACCTGCTTCCCCTCCAAGGCTTCAGTGATGAATAAACCAGGAAATCTCTCTCCCCGCTCTTCCAACTGAACATACAGTTTATCCAACCATTTAATTACCAAAATTATCCCGATAAAGGCAAACACAGACTTGGCACTCCCCCGTGCTGGCCCTGAAAAGGGTAATTTCGTCAACTTTTGTACTCCTGGTATCTGCTCCAATCTTTGATAACACCAACTCTTTAATGCAAGCAGTAAAGAACACGCGTAGGGTCTGGACATGCACTGCCAGGTCAGTCATTGCGTTCTAGGGTTGAAGTAGCAGCATGTGCTGCAAAAAAAACCCCCACTCCACGTTATCTGGGCAAGCTGAGGTCTGGGTACGTACAAAAGTGCACAGATTTTATTTATGCAGAGCCTGTGGAAATTAATAAAATGAGAATTCTCAACAGGAAGGAGGCCAAGATGATTTTGTTCAGGAAAAGGGAGATGTATTTTACTCTACCACTGGGTTTTTTCCCCTCATTTGTTTTATTTTGGAATTTCTGGATATCAGCATGAAACAGGCAGACTTTTCACGCTGGTATATTGGTAAACTCACATTTATAAGGAAGATACATGAAAGGAACCCATTTCAAAATAGCCATCGCGGATTTCCGAGTGGTCAAAGACAGGAGCATCCTTTTAGAAGGGAACATACCTGCTTCAGGACTCGTTTGATTACAGCTGCTAACGATGCTGTTGGGTACCACCGGAGTGGAGGAGGCCTGGATTCTGGACTGAGGTGGGTTGGGATGTAATGAGTTTCCTAAAGCCATTCCCGTCTGAGCGAGCATCCCGCAGCTCCCGCTGGCCTGCATCTGGTTTATTAAACCCGCCAGATGGTTGGTTGTGCCCGGGTTAGTACCGTGGACAAAGTTAGTGTTTGGGTTCTGGCAGTGCACACCGTCCCCTCGCAAGGGTAAACTCTGTGCCAGCGAGTTCTGGAGACTGCCAGAGTTCATACTGGTGTCTGCAAAATGCATCTGGTTACCAGAGCAAGGTAAAGCAGTATTGGAGCTCCCACAACTGGTGGTACTATTGCTGCTCATGTGAGAGCTCTGACAACTCATGGACTGAAGGAGCTGGGACATAGAACTGATGGGAAAGGAGCTTTGACTTGGCTTTCTTATCAAATCAGATCCAGCTTTGGAAACTCCAGAACTGTCCAACTGAGACTGTCTCAGCAAACTCAACACCGTGGTGGTCGGCTGCTTTCTTTTTCTCAGAGGGTCTTTTTGCTGAGACATCAATTTATCTCTCAGTGCTGCTCGGCCGCTCTGCCCTTCCGTCGTTGGTAGGAGCACGTTGGCAGCAGGAGGGAACATGGTATTTAAAGTGCTATGTCCTTCCGTGTTGCCACCAGCGGTGGCAACAGGTCCAGAATTGCTACTGCTGTTATTGTTGTTACCAGCAAGTTTATTTTGATTTGCTAGCTGTGCTTTGGCTGCTGCTGAGAGTAAACTACTTGCTGGAAAAGAGGCAGCGTTGTGCTGGTTCAAGATCTGATTTAAAGGCATTCCCAGCAAACCAGGCTGACTCTTCAATGAACCACTTCCAGCCGATGCAGTAGAAAAAACTGCATTGTTTGGAGGATTTAATACATTACTCATTCCAGCAATTAATGGGTTAGGGATGTCCTTGTATTGATTAAGTCCATCATGCTTGGTGGAAGGGCTAGATGGCATAGATGGTCTCGGCGACCCTATTGTTGACCTTGGGGACCTGGGAGGAACTTTAATACCACTACAGGATGACTGTGGTCCTACTGGAGGCAGCAGGAAATTTCCATGATCTGATGACGTGGAAGAAGAACGTGATCTTTGGGGAGAAACCTCGATCCTTCCGATCCCGGCTCCCATCATATGAACCGGGGACGTCACCGGGGAAGGAGAGAGGGAAGTCGAAGCAGAATGCTGAACCCTTTGAACGTGACTGCCATGATTCATGTGACCAGGTTTGACAGTTGGCAAAGGAAGGTTACTTGGCAAAGGGACGACAGCAGGAGGCATGCTTACATTCATCACGGGTACCTGAGAGTGGACATTTGAATGGAAAGTAGTTGGGTTAATGATAACGGGGTTCTGATTCACCGGTTTGCTGGGAATAGGGTCAAGTATGCCGAGAGGATCCTTTTCTGATGTTAATGGCTTTTTCTGAAGAGCACAAGAAGGCGGTGGAGGAGGTGGGGGTGGACCTTGGGGTGGTTTATGGTGAAACATTGCTCGCGGTATTTCCATACCAGTCGAAAAGTTACACATGGGTTTTTTCATTACGGGGCTTTTTGTGGTCAAGGTTGGGGAAAGAGGTATATTAGTCCTTCCAGCCATTGCACAGGATGACTGTATGGGAGAACCATGTAGCATTACTGATGGTGGAGACAGAGGTGTCCTGTTCATGTGAATAGGACTAGAGTTGGGTGCTCCATGAAAATTGGGATTGTTCCTTGTGAAAACATCAGGGCTTCCAAGTGGGTCAGTCCTAGGAGAGATTGAGCCATCTCCGTATATCTGTGATCCTGATGAAGCTGGACTGGGCATCCCACCATGACTGCCACGATACGGAGACTTCTGTCCAAGTTCATTACTACCCAATCTCTGCCTGGGATAGACAGAATGAAGTTCTTGTTGCTGGCTTCCAGCCATTTCTTGCACGTAAAGCCTACCCATGGCATTAGATGCCCCTATCATCAACTTGAAAGGAGTCTTACATTCTGGCATCACAGAATTTGTAATTCCTTCATGCGATTTATTCCTCACTGATCTCGGAGTTGCTGCTCGAGTAGGAACTACTGGAGTCGCACCTGATGTTAAAAACACAACAGTTACTGTTTGGAAATCCAATATCACACATTTCGGTGCAAAACTACTGAGAGTGAATATACTCATGAAAGCTAGAAAGCCTTTTTGGTTAAACTTTTATCTAAACAGATATAATACCTAAAATCACCAAAACCAAAGTTAAACTTTTGTCTAAACAGATATAATACCTAAAATCACCAAGTAGTTGCTGGAAAGGTGAGTGCTTCCCTACTACATAGTGCAGATAATACAGGCTTTAGCTCAATATCCCATATAAAGACCACATAAATATGGACAACGTTAAAGATTGTGTTTCTTAAGTTTCAAGCACACTTGCTACCTACAGAAATTTATTTTAGCGTGGTTCTTCTGAAACACCAATTCCTGGAAGGTGGGTTTTTTCTCTCCTCCTTTTCTCTTTTCCCTCTAACCATCATCTCCAGTGTCCTAGACCTGAACCTCCAGCACCACCAGTTTGGTTGCAGCTAGAAGGGCTGGCAGGAGGAGCGGGGAAAAGAAGCCTCTGGCACCATCTATTGAGTACAGGAGGAAAAAGCCCATCAAGGGTTGAGACTAATTTCTCCACGCCACAGAGAGAAGAGGGTGCTGCCCCACACTCTGTCCCTGATGAGGATGAATGGGGAGCTGTGCCATTACGACTTTGGCCCAGATTTCTAATCAGCCAAGCGCTTAATTGCAGAGACCTACGAGACCGTGGCTGTGCAAGGCAGGAGGCAGCTCCTCTGGCTGCTCCACATCACTCCCTGGCACCACGGGCACTGAGTTCCAGTCCTCTGACTTAATCAGTTCCTAGGAACTGCCCTGTATTTCTTTACTAAATTAAGGCTTTACCTGCAGCTTCTCCAACGACCTTTTCTTGGGGTGAAGATGCTAAATTTAAGGGGCTCAACCTTCTATGCTGGTTTCAGGATAAAGGCCCTGGGGTTATCTGCACACACACGCACATGAACCCCTCTACAATAGAAAAATTTCCAAGAAATCCCATTTTTGAGACTCCTACAAGCACAAGACCACTCTCCTTTTCTGCCCACTAATGTCAGTTTTATTTAAAAAGATATGTTTTTCCCCAATGGTTTACTTTAAGAATACCATCACAAGCAGCTCCGGGGCTGGCAGACTTTCTGCCAGTTTTGCTGCTCTGGGAATGTGTAATTGAGCTCAGAGTGCTTGGCATGAAGCCCCCGAATATGCAAACTTGAACTTGAGTAAAGAGCTAATGATTTCATGTTCAAATGAATTCAGATGTGCCTTTAAATTCCTCTGCTCACAAGAACCCAATTCCCTTCTTTCCTTCAGCCTGGCCACAGGAGACAGATGGCACTGACAATCCCGCCTTCATCCTCTTTGCTCAACCAGCTACATCAGGACAGAAACAAACATATTACCTTGCCCAAAATACAACCAAAGTCTCATTTAGGGGACAAATCTCAAGACTGAACTGCAAAACAAAATAGGTAGGAGAACCCTCACCTCGAATGCTGGACCTAAGCAAATGGTCAAATTAAGTGTGCATAAATGAAGACATTTCGTTTACAAAAGCAATTTATTAGGAAATTTTCTTCTTTGCTTCAGTACACAAAATTCTGATCAACAGAAAAGATAAGACCACATAGATGTGACTTGTGTCCTTAATATTTAGTTGGTTTTGCCTCCTTCATTTTGCTAATTTTTTGAAAACAGAAATGTAATTTTGGTACTACTCATACAGAATAAAAAAAAGAATTAATAAGGATAAAGCATAGTAATTTGGGAAATTGCGCTGTTTTAAAAACATAAATTACATCGCAAAAACCAATTTAAACAAAGTGTTAAAATCACATGTAGCAATTTGAAAATGCCAGGGCACATCAGTAACTTTACACTGTTGACCTATTTATTTTTATATCCTTAAAATTTTCCACTTTAAATCGGGGATTAGCAATTAGCCAGCTGTTATTACAGCAATAGAGGGGTGCTAAAGATCCTCAGATTATCAAGGACCACTTCCCAGAAGTTGCATGGATCACAGTATGGAACTTGAGGATCTTCAAGGTCCCTTCCAACCCAAACCATTCCATGAATCTATGATTTACTGAGCTCTGTCTTAAAAGTAACTTCGCTCCTTTGTCCTAACCATTTGGATTTTTTGAGCCTACTTCAGAACTTTTTCTTGTAATCCTTAGAAAGTAGCTAATTTTCTGTTGAAGTTTCTATGCAACTCTGGTTTTTAGCTGTTTCTTTCAGTGCTAACCTTCTCCTTTAACTTAAGTAGTTTTATTTTCTGGTGCTGATTCTCCTTCATTCATGCTGTCTTTACCCACAGCAATCGTACCTCGTTTCAGCCACCTCTTTGCCAGGTTGAACAAGTCAAACTCTTTCATAAAGTGGGATTTGCAGTTCACCAAGAGAAAAGCCTCTGCTTCTCCCAGAGCCACATTGATCTGCACCATTCCACCATCTGGTACCACTTACAGCCATCTTTGATCAGCTACTCTATCCAGGTCTTCTTTCTCAATAATTTACAGCTAATAGCTTTTTTTTTTTCTTTTTTTTTTTTTTTTCCCCACCAGTCCCCCGGTGAATAACCTTACAATTAATAGGATTTGTTGCTATACCTTTCCTTTCACTCCAGGTCTCAGTGATCCCCCAGTTTTTCAAGATGTTTTGATCTTCTCTTGTTTGGCTAGCTTCAGCCATCAACAAATTATCCCAGTTTTCCTTGATATGGATAATTAAAATGCTAATCCAGGTTGGTCCCCAAAAATAATCCTTGAGAAATTACTGTGGAGATCTTCTCTAGCTGTATATTCCGCCTTGCAATACAATTTCCCATTTAGCCAAGTCCTTAGCCACATTCTAATCCCTTTATAATCACTTTATTCTGCTTCTCTAATTTCCCATGTGACAGAATATCAGACATATTACTACAGTTCCAAAAGATGAGAGCTAATGTATTTTCTTTGTCTAGAACAATCTGATATCTTTTCCAAGAAAATCATGCTTTTAGTCTGGGATGACCTGCTTTTTAGACTCATTTTCTATCTACCTACATCTCTCTAATTACTACCTCTATTTTTTCCTTTAATCCGTTTACTATCGCGCTCATAGACACCGAAGACTTTTGGTGGGTGTTTCTGTAGAGTAATGATATATATATTTAAAATTAAGTAATTATACTCACTTGTTCCACCACCAGGACTAGTTAGAACGAGTGAAGGATGTGGTGCTTCCATGCTTTTATGAAGTGTAGCCACAGCAATAATTTTCCTTTTGTGGATGCATAGTTTGGTGACGTCTTCGTCCGCTTTAACATCTTCAGCAGTTCTCTGCTTCACAGCAGCTCCAGGATCAAAATTAAAGACCTGAGAGTAAAAATGCCAACGTTTAAAAGAATGATTGTAGGCAGAAAACTCAACGAAAATAGAATTAAAACAGAAATGTTGCATAAAATTAAATTTACTTCTGTTTCTTAGAGGTATCTGACTGCGTTCTCAAGAGATGCAATAGAAGTCAGGGTCTTGTTCTGATTCTCACGTGTTAGCACGATGCTGTAGATGGGTAGGTTTCCAATTTAATAGGAAAATGTTAAAACATGACAAAAACCAAGTCAGATCTTCTCCACGAGGGGAGAAGGCAGAGGGAAGATTCATTTTGTATTTTATGGTCAATCTCTGGATGTATAGCGCTTATTTTATACACATGATCTGAACAGAGATTAAGTCAAGGCACAGCACATCAGCTGATAGAACTGATAAGGATGCAAAATGATGCTTTTTACCTTGGGAAGAACAAGAGGACATTCTAGGCCACACTTGCATGTTCCATCAGTCAGCAAGTAAGTCTTCACCTGCTCCAAGCAGGATAATAAAGACCCACTGGGACTGTAAAGGAACAGAAATGATGAATACAAGCTATTTGATAGGTCATGACTTCTATCTGCCATTCTAACAGCTCACACAGAGAGTGGTTAAAATAACACAACTAAGATTTCATGTTTTGTTTCATAGTACTTCTTGCCTTTAGTCAAGAACTGAGATGATACTTATAAAAAAACAGCCAAAGAATTTTTTTAAAGGAAGCTTTTATTATAGAAAAACAAACACTGTGAGCGCAGAGAAAAGAAAATAAGTGAGATTATTGATATTTACTATTCACATTACAATCCTGCTTGAAAGCCTTAACAACACTAAGGTTATTTTTCTCCCTTTTTTCTCCTATAAAGTGTAACACACAGTCCCAGTCCCCACGGACCTCCTCCCCCCTCTATCACATCACTCAGCTCCACGCAAGGACGATGTTCATCTGCACCTCTTAGGACTAATTTAAGAAGAAAAAACACATCCAAAACCGTGTTTGAAGAAGAAAGAGAACAGGGGGCTCAGTAACAAAACTGTTGTGGCTGGGTCTCTTGGTTGCATAAACAAATTTGGTTTCATTCAGCTAAAATTTCAACCCTTTCACTGAAAGTTAGAAGTATTACACCAAGAGGCCAGTCCAGTGAGTTTCTGATAAACTGCACTTGGATTTCTCTAACTCCCACCAGAAAATCATTATCTCCATATCCAAAAATAGGACATTGGAAATTCTGTTACGGCAAAATCACTAATTCATAAGATGAAAAAAAAAGCTCTTGTGTCACAAGCCTCTGAATTCCAGATTGCTCTTTATTACTTGGCCGCCTAAACTGTTTATCGGGGAAAGAATGCAATGATTTATGAGGACTGGCTAAAACACCGGGTCTTAATGGCAGCTGTAAACAGCCCTTATTTTAACAAAAACAACTTAAGTGGAATATTTAACAAAAACAACTTAAGTGGCATAGTTTGGATCACGAAAACAGCCAAAACTCCAAACCATGACGAACTTTTGTAGTTAAACCCCAATGTATAAACACTTAATTCTGCACGAGGACTAAGTCACGCATAAAGCAACACCTCCAAGTGACATTTAGTTATGCTGACAGTTTCAGTAAGTAATTTATTTGCCAGACTTGTCCTGAAACAGTTATTTTAGAGAGAACTGCCCAGGTCAAATAAGTGCAACAGTGACAGTTCTGAGAGTAGAGCAAGATAAAAGAGCAGTCTAAAAATAACAGCACAGGTTTGCAGTGGTAGATAGGTCAGAAGGTCAAACTTTCCTTAAACTGAAATACTTGGGGAGCAGGGGGAAATGACTCTTTATTTTTATTTATTTTAATTTCATCTATAGACTGGTTAAACCACGATTATCACATTTTAACTCAGTGAGCATCGTTTGTTCTCTACTTTGGCTCTGCATCTCCAGTGTTGGCTGATGGCTTTGCAGGCCCTCTCTTACGAGGACCGGCTGAGGGACTTCCAGGGAGACCTTCCAGACCCTTCCAGTCCCTCAAGGGGCTCCAGGAAAGCTGGGGAGGGACTCTGGATGAGGGAGGGGAGCCCTAGGAGGAGGGGGAAGGGTTTGACCCTGAAAGAGGGGAGATGGAGATGAGCTGTGGGGAAGAAGTTCTTTGGTGTGAGGGTGGTGAGAGCCTGGCCCAGGTTGCCCCGAGAAGCTGTGGCTGCCCCATCCCTGGAGGGGTTGAAGGGCAGGTTGGAGGGGGCTTGGAGCCACCTGGTGTGGTGGGAGGTGTCCCTGCCCAGAGCAAGGGGGTTGGAACTGGATGTTCTTTAAGGTCTCTTCCAACCCAGACCATTCTATGATTCTATGACTTTCCCAACCTTTCCTGCCCACGCAGGCAGGAGGCCCACACTTCAAGATGTTCTTCCTACCAGAGAAACTCAGATTTGCTCTGCGTTATCCCATCTACACTTTCTACAATGCTTAAAAACTCACATTCCTGGGAGTACGCTCCAGAGTCAGGACGCCTTTTTATTTGCAGACCTAAGTAACTGCAAAGTATCTTTTGCGTGTACAGATTTTCTCACACTTCTAGACTGCAAAGGATAATCACCTCTGTATGAAACTACCAGCTTTTTTTTTTTGTCACTGAGGTCATCCAGAGGTTTTCAGACCCCAAAGAAACAAAAAAACCCCAAATTATAAAATATATTAGGATCTGTTTCTGAGAGTTCTGACTTCTTTTCTTATCATTGAAGAGCTTTTCTTAGTTTATTCCACTGATGATGAAGCCGAAGAAAAGATCTAGGTCCTACTTTAAGGCTGTAGTACTGTTTTACTAAGAAAAGCACTGAGACTGAACTCAGTGCTTTAACCAGGTAATGAAAAGTAGTTAATTAATGGATTTAATCCAAAGCCACTATTGACAGTTGACAGAAAACCATCCATGCTTTATAAGGAAGCACAAATAGAATGAATCCTTATCCAGCTGGGATCATCTATTGCAGTTAAATCATATCAGATCTTAATATATACACTAATTTTCCTTTAGGTATTATCTGAGTCAATATTGTTTGACCTTTCAGTCTCTCAATAAATGCTGTGCATATTTTCAGGGCAGTTGTTCCACCCAGCACTAGAGCAGGTGACCCAGGGAGGTTGTGGAAACTCAACCCTGGAAGATGGTGCTGGTGAAACTCAAGGCCTGACCCAACTGAGTGCTGCAGATGCTCCATGTCAAGCAGGAGCTTGGACTACTTGACTTCCATCCTTTCCAACCAACGTGTCCTACCCTGTGTCTTTCACCAAATAAGAATGGAAGAGCCGTGGACCACACCAAGTGCGTTGTCCAGCCTTTCCATTCATCGGAATGGCTTAGGGAAGGCAACCAGAAAATTAACCACTGGATTAAAGGGGAAAAATAACATAGAGGGGTAAAACTTAGGAAGAGAAATGATACAAGTCTCCCCAAACTGAAACAGGGCAACTGGAAAACTTGATTAATAGGGTCAACTAGAATAAAAACAGTAAGGCGTAAATAAAACTGCGTAAGGCAATTCCAAAAAGAAATATTAAGAAAGTCCCCCTGAACAACAAGAACATATGAAAAAAGAAGATGGAAAAGTGAGTAACTGTCAGAATTATACGAAATTTCACTAGTTTATAAACATGTAAGACACATGCTTGAAGCAGCAGCACAAGCTTTGCGGCCTGCTTCTTCTAGCTGTGGAAAATGATGTTCAAAAGCAGGTAGGATCGTCAGGTAGATAAAAATCCCAAAGCACTGGATGTCCTGACCGCTGGATACAGAGAGGATAAGAAAAAAAAAAAAGCCCAACTCACAACTTTTTTAGTTCTCATTGATTTTTTAACTAGGGCAGAGGCCCAGTAAATTATAGCTGTAATGAGAAATACAAGGGGAAGGCGATTTTTCTTTGACGTGCGTATCACTGACATGGATTTTGTGTGATTCTGCTAATTGAGAATATAAACAAGAAATCCTGGAATGCATTTGATCTTTTATGGTAGTTCAGTGTAAAATTGGAGTATGCTCTGACTCATTAAAGAACTTTGTGTTGGTAATACATAAAATGTTGTGAAGAAGTGGTTATTTTAACCACAGAAGAGAGGAATAAGATTAAGCAAATAACAGGCTGATAACCATTTAGACTTCTGTGATGTAAACCTGATGCACCCGTATTTTGTTAAGGCTAACTTTGATCTTTTTTCCAATAACAATTAATTTGTAGTCTGTTTGTCTGAACACATTCAGTTAATAGTGATTTCAATGCCTTTCTTTTGTGACTGTTCCAGGGTGAAGCAAAAAAAAATCCAATAAGCTAACAAAGTAAACAAATAAAATACCTAAAACTTTGGATTTAGCTTGTGTTCTTGTTTTTTCTGCATGAGCAATGTAAGGAATCCACAGAAGTCAGTCTTGCTGGAGAACATCAGTGATAGTGAACACGGAGCCTTCACAAGGCATATCAAAAGAGGTCTTTTCTGCAGCTACTAAGCATAGAGTGATTAAACTTTCTTTCAAAGAGAGTTAAGGAAAACACAACAGTTCTGTGGCTGACAGAAGAAGGAAGTCTCACCCTACCTTACCTGCCAAGAGGTGTCTGCAGCCCAGATCACTGCTTTCAACTCCACCAACAAAGGCTCTTATCAAAAGCCTGTGTTGGGGCAAGGAAAAGGCAATGCCTATGCTCCTGGGGGTGGGCAAAAGACAGCAGAGATTTCTCCCCATCCCAGGTGTGACACATCACTAAACCTCTGCTTAGTCTCATCGTAAAAGGTTTGAATAATAAAGGTGTTAAGGAAGGTTAAATCTGCTGCTCCTCAGCTTTAAAATCCGTATAACAATAAGTAATAAAGAACTACTCATGCCTAAAGCAAAATGTACAGGAAGGATTATCAAATTTTCAAGCCCAAGCGATATTAGATTTCAAAGTACGTTAAGGGCATGCAAATGGCCCAAGTGACATAGGTGGACTCCACTAATAGCAGCAGAAAAAAAAAATGATCTCGTGCCTCCAAAAGAACAAGCCGTGGAAGATTTTGAGTACAAAAGATTAGCTGAGTCACGACTTCACCACACGTTCTGGCCAAACGACAACGAAAATGAAATGAGTAACCCCCTGAGATCACCTTACCTGATGTAGAGCACTCCACTTTGGTCCACCCGTCGCTGCCAACCAACGGGAACTTGCACTGCTGGTGGCCCTCCATCCGTGTCCCCTCCGTCACACTCCTTTCCACCATTCATTTTTCTGTTTCTGTTTATGAGTCTTCAAAGATATCAACAGTAAGATGATATCCTTTTACTACATGTCATCATGGCCTCCCAAAGAAGGCCATTCAGAACACCTTTCCCCAAACTGTACAAAGTGCATTGGGAGGCTCCGGCTCAGTTTGAAACCAAGTCCTTAAAAGTGGCCATTTTTGTTAATGAGTCACTTTCCCATTATAATCCACATTAAATATGCAATGTTTAACTCCTTATATATTCATAAGGATGAACTACATAGATAAAAATTAGTGCTTCCAACTTGGGAAAATCATAATTCACCAATCCTTTGTTACCTGTCAGAAAGGAGAATGGGGAAAAGGAGAATTTCTAGTTCAACAGCATGGCTCCAAGCTTGATGACTGTCTAAGATAACTTGTATTTTGTGAAAGCTCGTCTCATTTTTATAAATATGAGTCAGATCTAATACCTCCAGGTATTATACCCTTTATATGCCACATTCTTTTTGTTTTCTTTTTATCTTCCGTTCATTATCCAAGTTGTCTTCTTGAGTTTCTTTCATGACTCCCTGGCTCCAATAAAACAGTCTGAAAAATACAGATATAGAAAACACATGAGCCATTTGCTGAAGCCTTTCAGCCCAGTTCAGTAACTCATGAAGATGTATACAGCTGCATCCATTTAAAGAGCTTAGAATCAAGATTTTAAATGTCAATGAAACCATGAAAATAAGGCTTAGGGTAAATATAAACCTGCTAGCAAATTCTATTTATATGTGGGTGCAACGGAGCTACACGTTAAAAGCTAAGAGCACAACTGTTATTAAATAGTTAATGTACAGTTTGGGTGAATTAAGAGATGTATCTTTTAACTGAATAGTTTCACATATGCTTCTGTTCAGAATTATCAACAGATGACTAGCTCAATTAATGTCCTTTAAAAGCTATTTAGAAAACTGAATGAATTGAATGCGAAGGAAGCTGCTTGTAGGGTTGATAATATCCATAAAAATGGAAACCCCCTGCATTTAGACTAAATTAAAATAATCACTTCTTACCAAAAACTTATATAATAAAAAGGGAAAAGCTAGCATTGATGCACTGATCTCAGAATATCTAGGAAAAAATTTGAATATCATAAGTAATTATATATATAATCATACAATTATACTGTATGAGCAAATCTTCAAGAAAGAAGTTCAGAATGACGCGAACTGTGTTATTCCCCACAAACAGTTTTTCAAATTGACCAGGTGAGACTTAACTCTTTAGGTTGGTTGTTTTTTAAGGTGAGACAAACATGGAATACATGATTCAAACAGTAAACACATCAGAAAAAAACCAACAATTCCAGTACTCAAGTGTAAGATACCGTTGATGACTACTGTAGGAATGATGCTAATGGGTTTTATTCGGAATCGCATGTCAATTCTTCTTTATTCCTATACTAACATTATGCTAATATTTTAAGACATAGTAAACGTTACTATAGACACGACTGATTTTGATAAGAAAAGGTTTTTTGAGATAGAAACGGAACATAAAGTCTTAGGATCCCACAATATTTCTGCAACAACAGTACCAACAACACGTTACATCTATATTTAACAGTAACAACAGCTCCTTTCTCCAAGACCACTAAAGGAAGACTATAAAGGCATAAATAACAGTCCTTGAAAATATTCCCTTAAGTAAACTTAGTACATCTCTTTAGATGTACTGTCATAAATGCAAAGTTCAAAAGGCTACATAAAAGAAAATAAATATAGTCATGGTGTTAACAAGAAGGATGTGGAAGAGAAAGGAGCTGGTTGGACCTACCCCCTTGACTAAGGCACTGAAATCAGAAGAATAAAGGGTGAGATTTTCAGAATAAAGGGTGAGATTTTCAGAATAAAGAGTGGGATGTCTGTAGGACGAAGCCTTCTAGAAGAGCCTGGCACTGTTTTGAAGGGATCTGTTTCAACTCTTCCACACTCTGGAGGACTCCAGTAGGATGTAACACTTAGTTGGCCAAGGGATGGGATGCGAAGATATAAGGAGGGATGAGGAGACCTTGCTGAGAAGGGAAGGGATGAAGAGACCCTGCTGAGGAGCTGATCACCACCAGTGGAGAAGTGACCCCACACCAGCGAGCAGAGGTGAGAGGGAATGTCACACCAAACACCTCACCATCTCTCATATGAAAACAATCTACCCTCTAATCTCTAAATCTGCTACATGGGAACAGGATTTTGAGAGCACTTGGCAACAGTTCAGGCCTCTTGAGTCCTCTCAGGTTTGCAGTTTGGAAGTTTTGGGGTTTGATTGGTTTTAGGCTGATTAAGAAGGCATCAGATGATGCCTCATCAAAACCAAGGCAGAATTTACCTTCAAGTTTGTGCATTAGTGCTGAACGCTGCATTGGCATTTTTATTACGGGTCCTACCTAAGGCTAACATAGGGAAATAATTTCCCTATTTTCATGAGAATTAACTTTCTTTAACACAGTAAAATCAGGATCAGAAAACACATATTTGAAATGCTGGAAGCACATAGGGTAGAGAAGGTTGCTCATCTCTTAGCCCAGCCTTGCCGTGGCTCACGTTGCTATTTAGGGCAATTGCACTGGCTCCATTACGAGAAAATAATAGCCATCAATTTCTTTTTTGCACAAGATTCAAGAGACACTCTGAAGTAACCTTACATTTCTACTGCTTCTGCCATGCCCTGCCTCAGCCAACGTCCCATTCCATCACCAACATAATACTTATCATCATCGAGTCAGATAAACCATTTTTCTGCACTGCATATAGCTTGAAATGCTACTAAAAGAGGCAAAAGAATTCACTTAATCGCTTCTTCTGTGGGAAATATTTCAATATTTTTACTCACTACAGCGAAACGGAATTAAACGGCTGTTTCCATCATACACCTTCCGTCAAAGTTTATTATTTGTATGACTTTTTCTTGAGAAGTTCTAAAGAACTGTAAACTAACACAAGGATTTGCGCGATGTAAAAATTAAAAATGAATCAGAGCACGGGTACAATGATCCATTTTCCATTCCATCCTGGGTACAAAAATGCTTCTACCACCACAGTCACTCTAAGTAGAAAATAGTGAACAATCCTGTTCACACCCTGGAAATTTGACCTTTTATCTCATAATTTCCTGTGCTCATTCACCAGTTGGGGTCTGTGAGGACGCGCCGATGTGTCTGTGTGCAATGAATTACAGGACAGAGGGCTAAGGCTCCCTGGAAGCTTCTTAGAAAATGGCTAATTGGTGTGTAACTAACCATGTAGAAGGAAGAAGCTGTGGCTGCCCCATCCCTGGAGGGGTTCAAGGCCAGGTTGGAGGGGGCTTGGAGCAACCAGGTCTGGTGGGAGGTGTCCCTGCCCAGGGCAGGGGGTGGAACGAGATGATCTTTAAGGTCCCTTCCAACCCAAACCATTCCATGATTCCATGTTTCTATGATTCCATGATCTTCCAACTCGATTGGAGAAAAATCCCGTCTCTTTTGATGTACCATTTTTGCCCTCTCCATCAAAGTATTCTATCTGAAGTACTTTGGATTGGGATAGAAAGCATTTGGATTTTGGACCAAATCCAAAGTATTTTGGACGCTGGATTCTATCCAAAGGCCTGATTTTCATCAACCCATGTAATAAATACCTCTTCTCTGTAATCTCATAACAACTCCAGACAACTCATGTTATCTCACCACGAATAACACAACTTTCCACATCTAAATCAATTACTTCTTTTTTTTCCATGCGCCAAGACATGCCGTTTAGATTTGTTTTGCAGTCCGGTTTCATTACAATACGCTTAAAAATATTTCACTGGAGAACTATGCAAAACTGCACTGAATTGTTCCCTCTCCCTTTAGCCCCCTCAAACCCCTCCCTCCCATGGAAAATTTCTCCTTAATTTCCATATGCTGAAAGTATGTTTTCAATTTTTAATGCAACAGTCTCATTTTTTGAAATGTTGCATTTTAGGAAGCCTCTTTGCACACTCAGCTGTTAATCTTTAACAGTTTTTTTTAGTCAAGTGGTGAAACAGAAAACTTGGTACAAAGTAAAAAAGAAATTGAATTTAGATACTAATAGTCCAGATTCAGGTCTATCACGTATGAGAGGAACACCAACATAACATTTATTAATAAGTGGACATAGAGCCACTTGAGACAAATTCTGACAGCTTAATATTGCAAAGATGCTCCAATACTTTCTTTTTCTTACATAAACTTGGAAGTGTGCCTAAAAATTCCAGGTATGACAGAGAAAGGCTGCTCAGAGGTCTGAGATCGATGACTGTCTCTCATGCACAAACCCCAGGTTTTACTTACAGAATGACCAGATTTTGGGTATAAACACACTCAGAAACACCCAGAAACCACAAAAAACACCGCTTAGAGATACAAATTGCAATCTCACTTCCCAGACTTTCCTTTCCACCCCAGAAAAAAACCTACAAAATACATCCAGAAATAGAAATTAGAACTAACAGGAAGTTTTAGCTTCTTAAAAAGCATTATTTTCAAACCAGGCAGAGGTAAAATGAGTTTTTATTTAGTTATCACTTGCACCTTATTAATCTGTTTAAGTCTACCAAAGCAATTAGTTAGGGTTCTCCTGTATCATCTAATTAGATACAAATGTTGCATCACTTTTTGGGAATGCTTTTCCGTTTTGAAAAGAAGCATTCTCTTGACTAATTAGATTGGTATTGAATACTTTATGAAGCCCTATTTTTAGGCGAATGATTCAACAAACAAATGTGCCTGAAGTATAAAGGAAACCTTTCTTCCCTCAATCTTCCCTCATTGTATCCATATCTGGGACATAACACACTGTATACGTGATATACTCTGCCCTTTGCTCTAAGAAGGACATCTTCATCCCACTCGTAAATACGGGGCACGGAGAAGACACTGCAACAACCAGAGAATTGATCTGCACTGAACAACTTAACTAAAATGATACATTTTAAATTGCCCCAGTGTCCAATCAGTTTATACAAGTCCAACTACCTCTGGTGTTAAATGGTTTTGAAATGTATAAGGGACAGTTTTATTAAATACTATAACAGGGCTTACATATTGCTAATTTATACAACTTTTGATGCTGTAGAACTTCTCAGGATTGGAAAACCTCAATTTAATCACTCTATAAAATGATAGTTATTTGGATGAATTAACTCATAAATAGCAAGAATGTCAAGAGTCCAGGACACTGTACCCATCTCTATACCCCAGCCAGCATCTTAACCAGTAGCCCACTGGACATGCCCCAGCTCAGCCAGCCTTGCTCACCTGCACATGGATGGACAGAATCCCATAATATTTGGTTCCTATGTTGCCAGACTGCATAGGATCATTGAATTATAGAATTGCCTAGGTTGGAAAGCACCTTTCAAGTCATCTACTCCAACCATCAACCATGGTCATGATCAAAGCAATCATTTCACACCTACTCTTTAGGAATCTCTAGTAACAAAATGATAAGGAAAAGATTCTCACAGAGAAAGACTGATTTATGTTCCTGGATTTCAGCTGATCCTTAAGAGCACACAATATGAATCTCTTCTCTTGGAGCATTTTGGGCCTGCGTGCTGTTAACTACTCAGAAGTTGGTACCTTACATCCGATGTCCTTCCTATCAATGCTCGTAGCGCAGGTAAAAAGCTGAGCTGCAATATGTCCCCAATTTAAGAGATTTAACAGCGTCATTACAGTTGTCCAATGGCTGAACTGGGAAGGAGAACAACTTTTTAACATTCTTAATTTAGTGTACGTATAGTACCCAGACCCAAAACCTTCCCTAGGACTGCCTTTTGCCACATCTATCTGTGTGACCCCCAGAGCTGGGAGCGATCGCGGTTTTCCTTTCCGATGAAGGGATGGAGAAGGTACGCCCTTGGGACACACACATGCACGTATGGATACACACATCTCTCAAAGGGTTTTGACAAAAAACAACGATCAAAAAAAGATGGCAGGGGACAAAAGGGTTTTCTTTTCAAACCTCAGCTCTGTCTACTCAAGTAGAATTTAATAAATACAAGGGTCACCCGACAGAGTCCATAGAAGAATACCGTAGAGTCATAATGCTCTTTCAGGCTTTCCACCACATTAATTTTTTTCTTTACAAGGGAAATAGGTCAAAACTGTGTGTGAGATAGCCCTACTTGACTGTCAAAATAATGTAAGCACTCAGATTTTTTTTAAAATAAAGACTAATAATTGGTATAGAATCGTGTCACCATTATCAAAACCTTTCTTAAGGAATGTTATGAAATACAATATTCTTAACCTATATGTTAATAAGAAGTGAAGAAATGTTATTACATTCACTCTGTCACTTTAGGAGAATTTGTATAAGGAAATGAGGAACTTCTATAATCTATAATGTCCATCTTCAGCAACCCACAAATCTAGGAAAAGCAAACCTGCACTTGGGATGTTTTATCTTTTTTATTTTTCAATGGCCAAACCCATTCATATATTAACTTCTCAATGGTCTCTACTAACAACACACCGAATATCATGAAATGATATAGCTAGAAATTAGCTAAATAAATATTACTAGCATTTAGAAATAATTTATAAATATTAAATTTATAAATATTATTAAATTTATAAATATTTTAAAGTTTCAAACTAAGTTAAAATTGCTTCAAAAGAAGATCCAAGCACAGGAATAAACAAATAACAAACTCTTCTTTCAGTTCTCATGTTTCAGGCTTCCAAATTTCTGAAATGATTAAATATATTTTTGTAACAATTTTCTATGACTTTCAGGAACATCTGATACAAAATGTTCTTAAGGTATCTAATAAAGAGATGCAGAAAACAAAAAGGTAATAACCATTTGTAAGTGTTTGGTTCTAAGTTGACAGCTTTGTTGCACGTTATTGACCTATCGGTTACCAGGGAAATACAAACTTGGGGAAAAAAATAAGTTAATTTTAAAAGAAAAGAGTATTTAAATGTAACTATTTCAAAACCTGAACATGAAAACTCAATTAGATTTTAGATGTGCAGTTAAAAAAGGAAAAAAAAAAATCAGATTGCTGGAAATATGGTGAAAGGCTCCGAGTTGCTGGCATAACAATTACCGGATTAGCCCCAGATCTCCATTAAGTGTGCACTGCAATATCTAAAATTAAGCAATAAATGGCAAAAATGAAAATCATACTCCCATATCTGAAATGCAGAGGCCCCAATGAACTATATAAACCTCCTTTGTATTAGACACCTGAAGTTCAGGACACAGCAATATTTTAATCATTTGAATAATTCAGATTCAGTTTCTGTGCAAGAGAATGTCAGAAACATAGTAGGATTGCAAATTAAACCTGTAAATTATGCTTTTGTGCCGAAGTAATAAGTCACATGACGCTACTATTTTTAGACACAGGGAAATTTTTTCTCCAAGTGCAATTTTTAAAATTGTTTACTGAATTATGTATCTCTACTCAGCAATTTCCCTCGTGAAAACACTCTCATGATATTAAAAAAATATGATAACATAAAAATCAGCTATTCAGACACCTTAATGCAAAACTCTAGAGCACAGATGTAATAGCACTTGAGAGCTCGGGCTGCCTCTTGGAACCTGGTAGGCTACAAACCTGGACAATATGATAAATTCTTCTCTACCATTAGTAGATTATTACTGTCTTCCACTGATACACTAATTGAATGTGGGAGCGTTTGGAGAATATGGCCCTGCTGTTGTAGAAAAGAGAGAGAACTGTCTGTCTCTTAAATACAACAGGACTTAGAAGTTCAAGGATATTTAAAAAAAATAAAAAAATATGGGTGATTCTAATCCTTTTAGCAACCTGCTCTAGTGGGAGGTGTCCCTGCCCATGGCTGGGGGGTTGGAACTTGATGATCTTTGAGGTCTCTTCCAACCCAAACCATTCTATGATTCTATGATTTTTACTCCATGAAAATTATGACAAATATTTCTTTCTTGATATACACGAGGTCCATTAATTGTAAGTTTAATAATTTTTAAATGAATCTTTATGAAGATTTGTATACATGACCTTTCCTTCTATGGCTTCTTTTTCTACTTACTCTGGTCTGAGTCAGCCGTTTTATGAATATACCATTCGATTTAAAAATAATCTTCCTCACCCTCATACGAAAACTTCACATTTGGGTTGTTATTTAAGATATATGAAATAAGTAATGCAAATATAAAGTATGTTTTAATATACTAATTAACAATAGGGCACAGGATTTAAAAAAAATAAATAAGCCATCCTGACCTTTTTCCTCATTAAGCATTAGATCGAAGGCGGGGATGTTCATCTTGTTCATTCCGAGCTGAAAAACAAAGAATCAGTTGAAACAGAAGATAAGCAATAGTGAGCAATACAATCCACTCAAGATTTCAGTAGGAAATGCTTCTTAATTATTCCTTCATATTTATTATCAGAGAGGTTTCTTAGAATATTAATTCTCCTTTGAAACTCTGAAAGAAATACCTGTTTCCACTTCTTATTTTGTACGCGCTTCATTTCCGTAAGAAATTATGAGCACAGGAAAAAATAATTTAATATTTAAGAAAATGCTAAGGTGCAACTCCTTTTTTAAAAAAATCTACTCTACTAAAGTTTAAGCTGTATTCCAGCAACAAAGATGATAAAAAGTTCTTGATTGTACCTACGCCACTGGTTTCAAATAAGATTTGGTGCTTCCTGAGCAAAACCCCTCTCTCCTGCGTGGCTGTCTCATTCCCTTCACTCAGAGACTGACTTTTAAGAAAGCCAAGGTATTTTTAGCCAATTAAAATGAGCAAAGCACCTAAATGTTAGTGTCTGTGTATTTTGGGGCTGAATTTTTATATGACAATTATCAGATGCATTCAGGCTGACACCTCAATAAGGATAAATTTCATTGTCTAATAAACCGTGAAGACTGCAGTCTGGCTCCTCGAAAATGAAACATTTGTTTTTATGGTAATAAAAAGCCTTCTATTCTCTACTTCAGTACCAGGGGTTGGGAAAGTCTCCTCGGAAGCGTTTTGCCAGCCAAACATGACATCATTAGGTTTAAGGTAGAGCAAGATGGTACCTGGTGACGATGCTCAACTCTGTCCTGCCAGGTATCCAGGGCTTTGCTCGCTTGATGCACTATAAAATCTGATTTTACTGCATGTGCAACAGCCTAAGCTAGACAAAAAGGGTTTGATTCTCTTCAGAAGGAACTAAACAAAGGGGTGAATCACATTCAAGCTTGACAAGTAAAAGAGAATTGCACCAGCTCTTCCAAGCAGAGAAAAAGAAAGATGAGAGGAAGGACCACAGGCACCCAGAAATTAAACCCTTGTATCCCTTTCAGGATGCAGCACATCCAAGAATTTAAGAACAAAGCTCCAAAAAAGATAAAAACGCACTACTTCATCCCAATGGAAGGACAGTGCGTTGTGCCAGATACTCAGTTAAAACTCAAACAGTCCTTTATTCTCTGAATAGGCTTGAAAAACGTCTCTGGGAATGCAGATGGTAGGCACGTCACACAGATATTTAGCTTGTTCTGGCACCGCACTCCTAAAAGTGAGCTATTGGAAAAAAGGTGGGCAAGGAACCATTTAGCGAGCTCTTCACAGAATCACAGAATGACATGGGGTAAGCTCTTCACAGAATCACAGAATCACATGGGGTTGGAAGGGACCTCTGGAGATCATCCAGTCCACCCCCCTGCCAGAGCAGGTCCACCCAGAGCAGGTCCCACAGGAACGTGTCCAGGTGGGTTTGAATGTCTCCAGAGAAGGAGACTCCACCCCCTCTCTGGGCAGCCTCTGCCAGGGCTCTGACACCCTCACAGCAAAGAAGTTCCTCCTCAGGTTTAGGTGGAACTTCCTATGTTCAAGTTTGTGCCCGTTCCCTCTTGTCCTGTCCCTGGGCACCACTGAAAAAAGCCTGGCCCCATCCTCCTGACACCCACCCTTGAAGTATTTATAGGTGTTGATCAGATCCCCCCTCAGCCTTCTCTTCTCCAGACTCAAAAGACCCAAGTCCCTCAGCCTTTCCTCATCAGAGAGATGCCCCAGGACCCCGTGATCAAAAGAAACTCATTTAGCAATGCAAACCCAGGACCCCATGATCAAAAGAAACTCATTTAGCAATGCAAATATATTCTGTCACAAAAAAAACCTCCATAAACAAAGCCATTAGTGTCAGGAAGAAATGCCATAAACTCTTGGCAAGAAAAATCTAAGAAATCTGAATTCAAGCTACAGCCAGGTACAACAGTTTCCCACGGTTGGTTTGTGTGTGTTTATTTCTTACGTTACATTTCAGCCTCCCCTCTCAACGGAAAGACAGTTTCCCACGGTTGGTTTGTGTGTTACATTTCAGCCTCCCCTCTCAACGGAAACCTAAATTCAAGGAAATCAATGGCAAACTTCCAAAGGCTGCTGAACCTGAATTTCACTCTATTTCAAATAAGAGCTTTTCAAAGCATTTTCTTTAAGAAAAAAAGGCCTTTGCTTCATTTTGTTGTAATGAAAACTGCCGTAAGTATAAACCTTAAATACCATATATCTCAAACTGAAGTATATTCTCAGTAATAGAAAAAGTTTGCAGGGATATAGAACAGAGCTAATCCCACAATTAAGTTGACAGAATTAGACAAACCGAGGATATGAAGAGGGAACTCAGGAGAGGGATCTGCTCAGCCACTGCCAGTGGCAGAAGGTCAAAATTACCAAGATGGCCTCTGAAAGCTTTATGCAGTTTTGAAAATTTCCTATCATAGATTATATGACAGTTATAGGGAAAATATCCCAGTGTTTCATCCATATTTGCACTCAGATATGAGGTAAAACAGAAGAGTTGTCACTGTATTATTTTTAATGCATTTTTTCAAGCAAAACATGAATGCAGAAAGTTAAGAGACACTTCTAAGACATTAGGAGATTCTTATGAAAGGAGAAGCTCCAGAAGAGAAGGTTGAGGGGAGATCTTGCTGCTGTCTTCAACTAGCTGACATGTGGTTAAGGAGAAGATGGAGCTACAATCTCCCCTGAGGTCCAAGTTGAAGGACAAACTGCAGACACATGTGCAACATGGAGAGTTTTGAATAAATATTAGGGAAATTAAGGCTCTGGGCATATCTTCCCAATGCATATGGAAGAAGATGGCTCTTTTCAGTGGTGTCCAGTAACAGGATACAGGTAATGGGCACAGACGGAAACACAGGAGGTTCTGTCTGGACATCAGGAAACACTTCTTTAGTGTGAGGATGATGAAGCATCAGCACAGGTTGCCCAAAGAGGTAGTGGAGTCTCCATCCGTGGAGATATTAAACAACTGTCTGGACATATTCCTGGGAAACCTCTTCTAAGTGACCCTGCTTGACCAGAGGGGTTGGACATGATGATCTCCAGAGACCCCTTCCAACCTCAGCTGGTCTGTCTGACCTCCAGATACCGCTTCAAACCAGCATCACTCTATGGCTACATCATAATTCTGTCTCACGACATCCCCAGCTACTGGTTTTGCTAACTTCAACAGGAAACACTATCCATCTTTTCATCCAAGATTATGGAGAAAAGAATCCTTTTGCTTTATGCACTCGACAATTCACTTATCTCACAGCCTGGGTTTTCTTATAGACTCTTCTCTTAGAACCTGTTCGCATCGCAGATTCACCAACTTGAATTAAAACATGAAAATAAGATCCTCCCTGGAATGCCATGGAACCCGAAAGCCTACTTTCAAGAATTAGACTATGAATTATGGAAGCCAGAAAAATGAAATTTCTAAATACAACCACAATGCTGGGTTACATAGGTGGAATTTACAAATGTAAAGGGAAAAAATGTCCAAAGATTTCCCAAATTTTCATAAAATTCTATCAAAGAAGATTGCTATTCTCTTAGCTCTCTCTACTGAAAGGGACAGCTCTAAATAACAGAGATTCAAAATAAGTTGTGAATATCAAGTTCTGTGTGAATAATATACGTATCAGGTTAGAGATGATCAGACAGAATTCTGTATTTTCTCTGTAGAAACTACTGGTAAGAATGAAAATGCACCAATGTGTTTAAAAACCTTATTTTGAAGCAAGGAATGCAGTACAGATATCACAGTGACTCATTAAGATGCCCAAACAATCTATTGTAGATTAAAATATTTTTATTTAAAAATAAAAACGTACACACTTCTTCAACTGGGGCACTTCAGATTAGGGATCTCTTCAGTCTTTTCTGGAGGGATTTAAAAAAGCTTTGGAGAAATCTTAAAGCTATGGAATTAGCCTGGTATTTATAGCTCAGTTTCCCAGTGTGTTCTTTGAGCTTCCTAGGACGTTCTTTTTCTCCATCTGCTGGTTGTTGACATGGTATAATGGTATATTTTGATTATGGAAATGTATAAGAATAAGAGCATTTCATTTTACATTTGACTGTAGAGTTGTGGCTTCATCTCAGGGCAAGGCTTCGCTACTACAATATAATCTAGGTCAAGAATGGTGCTGAATATTTTCTGATACAGATAACCAGAGTCCTATTGTTTAATTATGTCAAAATATATTACTACCAATTATGACTAATACTCCATATGAATCACCCTGTCACAAAATGGTAATTTTATTACCATTAAAATACTGTGCTTCATATGCTGTTTCAATCTGTTAAATCTAGGTCAGGGATGCTTTTTATTTCTTTGTTCTGTTATCAAAAAGGTCCACGTATGGATGCACTGTCTATCTCGTGCAAAGATATGAATTGCTAAATTGTTTACTCTTCTACTTCAGCCCCATTAACCGTCGAAGATGTCTGCTGTTCTTCTGATTAGGTTTTTTTAACATTGGCTCAAATCTTCTGTATTATACTACTTGAAATACAGTCTGAAACCACCCTTACAACCGCAGCATCAAACGATCAAAATTAAATCCAAAGTTTCTCAGCTTAAGCAAAGCACCGATGTACTTCCGAACGCTTACCTACATTACTCCTCATGGTCTTGCTTCTAGTTACCTTGGGGATCTTCAGGCTTCTTAAAATTCTTGATGCGCTTTCAGCTTTGCTTTAGAGAGTCTCCTGTTTAGCTCTCGATAATGGGCAATGTCCATTGAGGCTGGCTCCTTGTCTTCCTACACCCCTCATCTGAGGAACTCCTGCACCCCACGTTACATCTGTTGAGACAGTTGCGTTATTTAAATTAAAGAACGAGCCAAATGTTTTTATTTCACTTTTCTGGATTGCTTTCTAAGCCCTTAGCCAATTACTTTGTGGTATAAACTCTAATAATATTTCCTTTTAAAGAAGGTTAGGATGGCTCTGACCAGAACTGATTAAAAAAAAAGATACCTTTTACTCCATTATGGTGGTTGGCTGGCCAGAAGAATGAGCAGTTTTCTATAAAAACGAGTATGTGGATTTTTATGACGGCACTAATATGCATACAAAAAAAGGTCACTTCTTCAGACAACGTGGGTTGTACCCATGCATGCTAAAAACCTGCAGCGACAGACTCTAGAGTTACAATACCGCAACTGGGGTTCGTTATGCGAAAGGTTCCACTGGTATTGCTGATGAGCCATTAAATTAGTCTTTACACGGGTACACATGTACCAGTGAACCCCCAGCTGAAACCCAACTGGGCTCATAGAATCATCAAATCATTAGGGTTGGAAGGGACCTCAAAGATCATCAAGTTCCAACCCCCCTGCCCTGGGCAGGGACACCTCCCATCAGACCAGGTTGCTCAAGGCCCCATCCAGCCTGGCCTTGAACCCTTCCAGGGATGGGGCAGCCACAGCTTCTCTGGGCAACCTGTTCCAGTGTCTCACCACCCTCAGAGTAAAAAATTTCTTCCTGAGATCTAACATTCTGTAACATCTAATGGGGTTCTAATTGACAAACGGCTGAATATGAGCCGGCAGTGTGCCCAGGTGGCCAAGAAAGCCAATGGCATTCTGGCTCGTATCAAAAATAGTGTGACCAGCAGAAGTAGGGAGGTGATTGTGCCCCTGTACTCAGCACTGGTGAGGCCACACCTCGAGTATTGTGTCCAGTTTTGGGCACCTCAATACAAGAGAGATATCGAGGTGCTGGAGCGAGTGCAGAGGAGGGCTAAAAACCTGCAGCGACAGACTCTAGAGTTACAATACCGCAACTGGGGTTCGTTATGCGAAAGGTTCCACTGGTATTGCTGATGAGCCATTAAATTAGTCTTTACACGGGTACACATGTACCAGTGAACCCCCAGCTGAAACCCAACTGGGCTCATAGAATCATAGAATGGTTTGGGTTGGAAGGGACCTCAAAGATCATCTAGTTCCAACCCCCCTGCCCTGGGCAGGGACACCTCCCACCAGACCAGGTTGCTTAAGGCCACATCCAGCCTGGCCTTGAACACCTCCAGGGATGGGGCAGCAACAACTTCCCTGGGCAACCTGTTCCAGTGTCTCACCACCCTCAGAGTAAAAAATTTCTTCCTGAGATCTAACATTCCGTAACATCTGCCTGTTCTTGAGCTGTTTCCTTCAGAATCGCCCATAAAAATGCACTCGCAATCCTCCAACCTCAATGATTCTATGATTCTATCTGCCTGTTCTTGAGCTGTTTCCTTCAGAATCGCCCCCAAAAATGCACCCGCAATCCTCCACACGCTCAGGCCTCAATGGTGCCAGTCTCAGTTTCTCTGAGGCTGAAAGGAGTTACCGGGCTTTGCAGGACTCTAAGTCAATTAATTAGTTCTTTCAGAGGCGAAATGGATTGGAGCTCATTAGGTTAAAGGCATATCCAAAAGAGTTAATGTAGGCCTTTAAAGCTTTACACCAGAAAGCCCGAGGACTCAGGAAAGGCACAGTTAGGGCTTAGAAATACACACTTAACCCATTCAGAATTATTGGGGATTTTACTTTTAAAAAAAAAATAAATCTACAATTAAAATACAGGTAACACAGCCAATCACTGCTTTTTGAATCCTACAGGAAGTCTAATGAATTTGCTCTGATTTACAGATCGCGTATCTGGAATCTCTTTTAAGTCATTTGTCATCATAGTAAAGGTCTTGGTTCTTGTTTAAAAACTCCTCCACTTCTCCCCAAAAAGAGAACCCGTTAATACAAAAATGTTAAAAACTTCTCCCCAAAAAGAGAACCCGTTAATACAAAACACGATTGAAAAATTTCAGGCAAGCCAAAAAACCAGGATATAAGCACGGAAGTCACATAAAGCACATTGGCTGCAAATCCCAAATAGAGTATTTACTATGATTATTAAAATATCTTAGTCAAGCTTATAAGCAAAACCTTTTTGCTTTCTTGGTGATGAGCTGGTGCTTGACTTCCACTGACTTCATTAGTACCACTAATTTACCTGAGTTATCAATTGAACAGCATTTCCCAATTTAAGGGCAAAATTGGAGTACAGTGTTTTGTAAAAATAGACACCAGAGAGTCTTGGTTGTTCCAGACTGCATTTACCAACCCAGAAGAGCTTTTCAGTGAACAGTTTTTTCATATTATTACTTGAGATTGTTAAAGTTCTTCCCCAACCAGTGTCACTTTGAAAATTATACCCCTATAAAATATATGTCTAGATTTTTTTAAAGATTGGGGCACTAGAGAGCTTCCATGTTTGAACACCATACATTTAATGCTTCTGAACATTACAGGGCTTACCTGTTCTCAATATGGAATATTTTTATGTATCTAGAATGCTAACAGGGTACATCCAGTACCCACAGAATCGGAGACACACTGAACTTTCTCCCCTGAAGCATCCATAGGACCCACAAGGTTGGGCTCTTACCCCTGGGCCTTAGCTATTTGCTTCAGCTTAGCAAGAAACTGAATGCCAACGTTTGCTAATTTGCTCCAGAAATCTTAAAAATCTTAAAATCTCACTTATAGATTGCATAATTGAAACATAAGAATTTATTCTTCAGCTGTAGAAATGACAGGAATTTTTAACCTGTTTCTGCTGTATATAAGCTGCATGAAATATTTCAAAGAATGAACATTTTTATGTAGGTTATTCATAAAATTATAGATAAATAAGGATCCATAGCTTCATAACATACCTTATCTTTACAGTAACAAAACAAATAGAAAGATGGTATAGCCTACCATTAAAGAATTTGCATACAAATATATTTTAGATCGTAATTTCACTATGGATATTACATTCCTCAGATAAAATTATTTATTAATGTTTAAACACACTGAAAGGTATTGATAAGAGACATTTTTATGAAGAACTTCCCTTGAGCATATAATGCTAATCACAGCAAACACTGTAAAACTAATTTACTGGAAACAATTTCAATAGATGGATGAAATAGCCCAAGAACGAAAGCTAAGTCATACTGGGGCTTAAAATAACTGGGTCACATGGTCAGGGCTGAGCATTGATGTAGCATCAGGAAAAGAAGCCTCTAATAAAGGCCTCGAGAAATCGACAGAAAAGTGTTATTAAAATGAATTCAAACAAATAACCAGATTTTTAACTTCTGTCTAAATCAAATAGTAACAATAACTGAACGATCAAAATTGTCCCTACCGAGCAGACGAAAACGTGCAAGGAAAGACGTAATTAAAATTCTTGCTGAAAAAAAAATTGACATTACCTTAATTATGCACCTGCCATTTACAAATTTACCAGCATCAAAATACTAGCACCGCAGACGCAGATGACCAGCTTCAGAGTATAGTTTTATAAATGCTAAGCTTAGACTACTGGGGATCATCAAAAGGCTCCTATGTGACGAGCCAAGAGTATCTCTGTGCCTAATTCAATAGGCGCCGCGTTGCTCTTCCCCTTCTGCAAATTCTCCTTTTAACCAACCTTCCTATTTCATTTGCCTATAAGGAACAACCAGTTTTTGTCCTAAAGAATTATAAATAAGCGCTTGTAAAAAATCTGTAAGGGATTTTTTTTTTTTTTCAATTAAAAAAATGGACACTGGACATAGAAAAAAGCATTTCTACTTCTATAGTCTGGTATTTAAAAGAAGAAGGTGACTGTCACAGACTGTCCTAGCTGTTATTAAATAGCACGGCACCATGCGTGAAAAAGCCCAGTTTATTTTTATCATCCAGAGATAAGTACAGGACTTACACAGTGACTACAAGATGTTTATTTTTCTACTGTGTACATCTCCATAACAATAAACTTCCCGACGAGTTCTCACCAAGTTGCAGGAATCTAATGGGGAATGTATTTCTGGGCAGAGACATCTGTTTTTCAGTGCATGTGCTGTCTCATTCCCTTTGTGAGCTTTCTATTTACATAACAAGTCTGTGCTAACAGATTAAAAAAATCCTGTCCCCATCTAATCTCTTAAGATACATACAATATTCTTACAACTATGGTTATTTGATGTATCTAAAATTAAAGACACTCTGCTTTTCATAAGAAAAAAAAAAAAAAAGGAAAATACCAAAAAATGATCTTCCAGTGAGAGAAACAAACTCAGTAACTTTGCAATTGTTCCTGTCACAAAAGCCTAGTGAAAGAGAATGGCACTCAACCAGTTCTCTTTTTTCTTCAGGTAGGTTTTAAATGTATATCGTCATTATTGGCTGTTTCTCAGGTTCTTCTTCCCATTTATCCTGTAGCGTAACTGCAAGACGCTCCTCCAAAAGAATATATTCCAAATCAGAGCCATGGGCTCCATGCTCAGAAAAAATGGCAAAAACTCAACTTCTTTACAAGCATCTGGCCTGATTTTATTTTCAATAATTGCTATTTTTATTTTGTTAAGTGGAAAACTCAGACAAAGTGTTATTTAGTAACGGCATCATCCTCCATAATACTAAAACCAAACACAGCATCATTAATTTCTAGTGGTGGCACTACATTACCACCAGATAAACAACACTGCCTCTAACACCAGCCTACTGAAATCCCACCAATTATCTCCTGACACATCAAAGAAAACAGAAGAAACAATTTTAAAATTTGAAATCACTGTATTTACTATCCATATATATGTCACAGGAAGAATGACAAAGAGAAAATTCACCTACCTCAAATCAGGAAGACTGGTGGAGGTGATCCACCAGGTTTTGGTGGGTCTTGAAACTTTTGGAAAGAATTAGAGAAGTGCTGTTTCTTCAAGTCTTTATGGTTCTTGTGTTTTGTTGTGATAAAGTCTCTTCTTCCTGTAAAAAAACCACATGTTGTACTAAACCAAGACTTGCAGAAAAACAAGTTATCAATACCTGGGCTTCACGTAGACCACAGGGCTTCTCTAACAAAAAACATGGGTGCATTCACAAAAGCAAACATTGAACTCAACTGGGGAGTTTATCCAGGTGCACCTAGTACTCAGTGAAGAAAGGCTTGTGATTTTATCCAAATTAACCTAATTTGATCCTGAATACAGCTGAATTCTGAACTGCCCTCTAGAAGGATCTCAGAAGCCCACCCTACTGTCCAAAGTTAGGGTCCAACTCTGGCCACAGCCACCGCTGCTTTACACATCCACAGAATTTAAAGCTCTAGAAATAGAACCTACACGGCTGGAGAAAGGATAAAAGGACTTTTAAATGACATATTCTTGAGCAGATCCACCACAAAACTTTAGAGAACTACAATTGTAAAAAAGACACACAGTTTTCCTTGTTTATATCTCATTTATATGCGCACCTCTCCATATTTATCCACTCATAAACACACACATATATATTTAAGTTAACATAAAACCCCCGAATTAGCTTAGAAAGTAGCATTGAAAGTCGATTTTAGACTTGTAGGGTAGATTTTACCCCTGGAACAAACACAGCTACAACTAATTCTGTGACTTGAACTTGTGATGGAGACTCACGAACACAGCCTAACCAGAGCCTTGTAGTTAATTTTGTTCTTATAACCAGCATAAACAGTTGGCGAAAACATCTTTGCCAGGGATAACTTCCAGGGATCAGAGGATTTTTAGGTTTCTCCAATGTAGACCTGGAACCTCAATCCATCCAGAAGACCTGGCTTAAATCAGGGCTCGCAGCTCCTCAACAAAAAGCTATGGGGCCACTAGATTTTTTTTTTCCTTCTTCATTTTCTTGGGACATTCTCAAAAAAAAAATCCACTACGTGTAGCCCCTAATTATATTAAGAGGGCACGAGTCAACCCTCTGCTGAAAGGTTCCTCCTGCTCCTGGAGTTGGGGGCTGCTCCCTCTCCTCCGTGGAGGCCACCGCGGGCCCAGGGAATCAGCTAAAGGAGCCGATTTGTGAATTTCTGATGGATTAGTCTTAACCTAGATCGGTTCCCTAATCTCCGCGGCTGGAGGGATGCTCGTGCTGGATGAGACTCTTAGGAAGGCACGGCACGTGTACAGGAACGAATAACCCCCAGGGGAGAGAGCAGTGGTCAATTTGGCTCAGGCCAGTCCAAAGCTCTTGGGGAAATTCAACATATTTGCCCATTTCATTTTATTTCAGAACACGGCAGGGTTGAAAATATCTTCTCATCTCCCGCTTTCATGGAAGGACTTCAGTATATTTCACTGTTTAAATAAAAGTAATATTTAGTTGTCTACATATTCAAAATCATAGAATCATAGAATGATTTGGGTTCTGTCTACATATTCAAAATCATAGAATGGTTTGGGTTGGAAGGGACCTCAAAGATCATCCAGTTCCATCCCCCTGCCCTGGGCAGGGACACCTCCCACTAGAGCAGGTTGCTCAAGGCCCCATCCAGCCTGGCCTTGAACCCCTCCAGGGATGGGGCAGCCACAACTTCCCTGGGCAACCTGTTCCAGTGTCTCACCACCCTCAGAGTAAAACATTTCTTCCTGAGATCTAATCTGAATCTTTTTTCTTCCAATTTAAAACCGTTTCCCCTTGTCCTATCATTACACCTCTTGGCAAAGAGTCCCTCCTCAGCTCTTCTATACGATCCTAATTCTAAACGTTAACTGTTATAACACCAAAGAGCAGGTAAGCGTGTCTAAAAAAAAAAATATATATATATCTATTTTGAGTACCTGACTAGCCATCATAAAGCTGGAAATAATAATACATAATAATTTCCATACAGTTGGAAATAATAATCTTGCTTCTTTACTGATTAGAATCCACACCTATTACACGAGTATGTCCTAGACATGGAGCAAATAAAGTTCTAACAGATGACATTAAGAAAACAAGACACAAATATCCCACCTGCCACGACCACCTCGGCACCAACATATGGCCTTTTCCAAACGTACTGTTCTTTTGTATGACAAGTCGCCCATATTAATACACCTCCAAAAATGCCTTTTTAACTGCCTGACAACCCCATACGCTGAGCGAAAAACATTAAAGTGACAAGAAATACAATAACAACAGGCAGGTCTTTTAGAGAAGCTCATTTAAAAATTAGCTATAGGGGTAACGTGCTAACACATGGGGTTTACTTACGCGATGTATAGCTCTCCGGCTGACATACTAACATATTTTCTTTACGTATGTGATATACAGCTATGAGGCTGACATACTAACAGTTTTCAGATTTGGCAACGGTGTCATTTGAGTGGATGGAGCTTTGAACAGAGAAGATACAAGAAGAGATATTTGCTAGGGTTTTTTTGTGTGTGTGTGTCTCCGGTTACAGGAACAAAAAAAAAAGAAAAGACAGAAATGGATTTTTAATTGCCAAGAGAAGAAAATCAGAGACATCCATTTAATCAATAGTCTCAATCCTATAAATCCTGCATATGTGATACTTTCATAAAGAAAGTGCCAAGTACTAATAATATATCTTACAGCTGTGAAAAGACTTTTATTTTCCAAAAGAGCCTGGGTTTTGACAGGGAAGGCGCACGCCGCTCTTCAGAAGCGGCATACATGCAATCTTCACCTGGCAATTTAAAAATGGAAGGAAAACAATCAAATTGACAAATAGATCAGTTGCCGACTATAAAGAAAATCACTCCGGTGTACGAGGCTGGGTAATAAAGAGGGAAGCAGAGTGCAGGCCCGGGTACCACCGTGCTCCTCTCGCCCAACCGCCGGTTGCTATGGCAAGCAGTTCCCCGGGTTTTTCTCCGTTAAACAGTAATATGTTTTCTGCTTCCTCATTCTTGGTATTTTGATGAAGTTAATACTCGAGGATCTGGACCTGGAAGGGATGGAAACTAAAGGTTCTCTCCGATAAACAGGCGTCCTGGTTTATTTTGGCTTTGCGAAACCGTCTTAGAATTAAAAATTCGTGAATAATCAAAAAATTGTTGTCATTCATCTGTAACACAGCCTTTTAAAAACTTGTGATTTATTTCCATTAGCTGCTTTGCATACCTGTTGTACATGCGTTTCTGTTTTCTAGCTCACAATGGAAATGTAATCTACTTTTCCTCTTCACTGATCTTTAATTTAATATAGAGATAACTGTGAAACTGATGAGAACTGAGATGGTAAACAAATAATTGTAGTTCTGTGTAATACCAATTTGTCTTTTCCCTTGGTTTTTTTTCCCCCTAAACAAACGTTGTTAGAGGTACAAAAGAATGAATAAGTCAGAAAAAATTATTTAGTCATTACTCCTGTAAACTAATAAATAACTGCATTTCTTTCTGTAGTTGCCTCTACCTGGAACACAGGGTATTTCAAAAGGTGGGTAAGAGCCAGCTGTCAGCACAGGAGATGCTCTAATGGGGAGAGAACGACATTAATCCATTTTCTTCTTGATTTCTATGGCTAACATAAAGCCTTAACATACAAAATACAAATACATTTGATAAAATAACCATGACAGGAGAGAGAAACAATCCTCTCCCCACCCTGGGGGTCCCCGCCGGACCAACTGCAAACTCAGCTGTCACCCACTCGAAGGAAGGTCCATGACAAAACTTCGTAATACTCATATACTTTTAAAAAAAAAAAAAAAAAGGACAAAAAACCGATCTTTTGATTGGAATGCTTTCTTCCATTGTCAGCAAGAGCACACAATCCTCTTTTTCTTCCTCCACACGAGAGTATAAAATTTGTACATGGTTTTATGTGTCTGTTGAGCTGTTTCTTGAGATTGGAAAGGAATAAAGAGAATTGATCAGGGTGGGCAGTGGTCCCAGATCATGACTTTTAACTTCTCCTGTGCTTCGTAATATATACGACTTGCAGAAATAGGCTCAAAAACATATTTACAAAGTATGTAAAGGCCAATAACCAATGTGAGATGCATTCTATTTATATTAACGTACAGTTTCTGGTGATGCTTGAGGTAGATGAGGAACAAACACTGTCCTACAGTTGGCAGGACCACGCTGTCCTCCAGCTGCTCACCACGCCGGAACCCTTCTTCCATAGGTGAGAGCTAACTCATCCCACCAGAACATTTCTATATCCAGATTATTTTATATAATTGTGTTGACACCAAGACTGCAAGCTTTTTGCCTCCTGAAAATCATAGAATCATCGAATGGTTTGGGTTGGAAGGGACCTCAAAGATCATCAAGTTCCAACCCCCCTGCCCTGGGCAGGGACACCTCCCACCAGACCAGGTTGCTCAAGGCTCCATCCAGCCTGGCCTTGAACCCCTCCAGGGATGGGGCAGCCACAGCTTCTCTGGGCAACCTGTTCCTGTGTCTCACCACCCTCAGAGTAAAAAATTTCTTCCTGAGATCTAATCTGAATCTTTTTTCTTCCAAAAGACAGCATAAGCACCTGAACTGCTCAAGAAATGCTTGAATAAACACACCAACCGCACAAGGAGCAGAAGAAAAGGACACCTGGACTTTTAAGATTAAAACTGTTATCCAAAGCCTCCAACTCCTTAGGAAAAAAGAAATTTAAGGCGGCAGCCACACCAACAGTTTATATTTTTGCCTCATGATACTTTATCCTCACATAATAAAGTGCCTTCTTTCAGACATGATATTATGCCATTGTTTAAAATTAAATCCTCCAAAAAGAAAATAACATAAACTTCTCTAAACTCTGTTATTTCTTATTTAAAAACTCTTGGCACAATTCTCCATAACTGGCAAATCTTGATTATTTTCAACTCTCATGTAGGCCAAAATCTGCCACAGCAGTCGACGGGAGGAGGACTCAATAACTGGGGTCCAGCACAGACTCTTCCCATCAATTTTCTTCTGGTCTGGACTCAACCAATGCTGGTGGCAGAGAAACCTGTTTTCTCCTAAACCTGAAATATTACGTTGTACATCTGAAGTTTC